CTTCTGGGACCGCCGCGCCGACAAGGTCGACCGCAGATACTCGGACGCCGAGTTCCTGCAGACGCCGTTCGCGGTGTTCCAGCGCATCCTCGCGCCAGAGGGCATGCCTGCGGTTGCCATGCGCAGGCGCTGGCCAATGCGCCAGGTCGCGCTGTATCTGCGCACATGGTCGGCGTACAAGACCTTTGTCGAACAGCACCCAGACCGCGACGACCCCATCGATGTGTTCTGCCGCAAGGCGGCCGACGCCATCGGAGCCGACTCGCCCGACTTTGAGGTCAACGTGTCGTGGCCGCTGACGCTGCTGATGGCCAAGAATGCCGTGACCGATTGAGCGGCCGGCAGCTGGTGCTGCAATGAAGCGGCGTGCATGTGGATGGCAAGAAAGCGAGCCAGATGTGCAGATCCTCGTGGCTCTGGCTGCTGCATGCCCCCTTCGCGAGTTGAACACGGATCTCTCGATTAGGACTTCGAGCGCTCTCCCGTTGAGCTAAGAAGGCCGGGCTCTCACGCACTCGTCAGCTCGGGGCGTGCGCCAGATCCATCTGCGTGATCGTCGGCCGCGATGGCCATCTGCCCGCAGCCTCGTTTGTTCGGCATGCTGCATGGGCGGCATGCGTCGATGCTGCTGCTTCCCTGATGCAGCTGCGCCTCTCGCTCCGAGCTCTTGCGTGGTGCAAGCTTGTTGCAGCGCTCGATCTGGCCGTCGGGGGCTTCTTGGCAACATCCGGCGACATCGGCGCTTTGGCCGACATGCACCAGATGCAGTCCGCCGGCCGTGCAGCCCCGGCGGCCGACGGCGCGCTGCCGCACGGCGACTCGCACTGGGACCGCCTGCCCGCCGAGCCATGGTGAGGGCGTGGGCGGTGCCGACGCTTGCGTGGTTCGAGCGTCGGCGGCTGCTCCGGGCCGAGTCCAGCAGCCTCGACTGCGACACCAGCGACAGGCTCTGGCGCGAGGTCTTCGAGTCCGAGTGGCCGGGCGACCTGACCACGCTGCCGCACCTGCCCGACGCGGCGCTGCTGTCCCTCGCCTCGCGCCGCATGCTCGACCGGCTGCGGGTCGCGGGCGTGCCGCTCCAGCCGCGGGCCGTCCAGCGGCTCGCAGTGCGCCAGCGATGGGACGACGTCCTCGACTTTGGCAAGCCAGAGCTCGTCGCCGAGCTGGCCGCGCGCGGGAGTGCCGTGAGCCTGCTCGAGGAGCTCGTCGACGACCGCAAGCTTGTCTCGGTGCATGCGAGGCTGGTCGAGGCCGCTGCCGCCGAGGGCCAGCTCGACATGGTCAAGTGGCTGCGCGGCCGCATGCCCGATGCCGAGTGGCCGCCGTCCGCCATCAACTGGGCGGCGGGCGGCTGCTGCCTCGATCTCGTCGCCTGGCTGCTGGAGAACACCCCAAGCGAGTGCACGGCTCGGGCCGTGACCAAAGCCGTGCTGCGTGGCGACATGCACATGGTCGAGTGGCTCGCGGCCCACACGCAGGCGGGATGCACGGTCGAGGCATTCAAGTTTGCGTGCTGGGGCGGCCACGTCGCCATGCTCGAGTTCCTGCTCGCCATCCAGATGTCTTCGCCGCCGCCGTCGACGACACCCTCGCGCAGGCGTTGCATCTGGACACGCTCAAGTGGGTCAAGGAGCACCGGCCCGGCACGATGCGCCTGGTCTCGATCGACAGCATCGTCGAGCACGGCGACGTCGAGGCGGTTGCGTGGTGCCTCGCCAACATCGACTGCATCGTGGGCATCTTCGGCGCACTCC